GAGTTTTGCCACATCAGCGTAGTTTGGGATGAATTTACGATGGTAACCTGTAAATCCAAGGAATGCTCTTATTTCTTTTACTTTTGTTGGAATTGGGTATGAAACTATCGCTTCAACTTTGAGAGGATTTGGTTTAATTCCATCGGGAGTCACGATATGACCAAGGAAGTTTGCTTCCCTTTTCAAGAACTCGCACTTGTCTAATTGCAATATTTTTTTAAAACTAATTGTAATGAGTTTATGTGTTCATCGAGAGATGTAGGTAAACCAGACAATGTTTATTAAAAAGTGGTCAAAGTATATTGTTCATACATCTTTGAAATGTAGCGGGTACGTTTCTCAAACCAAATGGCATACGAACGTATTCGTAGTGACCATTCTTGGTAGAAAATGCAGTTTTTGGTATGGTTCCGGATCCATTTCTAGCTGATGAAAGCCTTTCGCCAAATCGATTGTCGTAAAATATTGACATCTTCCTAATTTACCGAGTATTTCTTCCATGTTGGGTATGGGATATCTGTCCGGTATGGTAACTTCATTTAGTTTTCTGTAATCATTTTACTACTCTGTATTTTATTTTACCTGAAGCATCAGGTTTCTTAGATAAAACCCAAGTTGGACTATTATAGGGTGAATTCCTTTCTCTAATTAATCCTTGTACAAGCATTTCTTGTACCTGTTTCTCAACCTTTATTTCGTGCATTTGTGCTTGTGGATATTGTTTTGAATAAATGGGGGAATTATGTGTTGTATTTAGTTCGTGTTTAACTGTGTTTGTAAATGTTAAATGATCTCCTTCAATATATTGAAGATTCTTGAATTTATTTAATAAATTAGTTTAGAGCTTTCCTCTTGGTTGAGATGATCCAATCGAAATTGTTCAAAATTTAAATTTTTACTTGGTAGGGAAACTGATTTTTCATTTGATTTTAGTTCTTTTTGTATATAAAAAGATTTATCTTCTTCTGGACCTGAATTAATCAATTGGATGTTCTATCAAAAAGTGTAACTGTGCAATTTTTGTAATTTATAATAGTTTGTGCAGTATTGAGCAATCTTCTGCCAATTAACATGTCGTAATCGTTAGAGAAATCATGAAAATATAATTGTTGAGGGGTTTTGATTATGTTATTACTGTATAATTTGCTTAGCTGCCTCGAGTACTTTGCATAGACTTTAGACGCAGCTATCCTTAAAAGGCAGTTAACTTAATTTAATTTTTCTCTCCTTAAAGTGAATCGATTTCATAGTAACCACTATTTTTTTAAGTAGTACTGAATTCTATTTAACAATACCAAGTTTAATAAATTAAATTGATAGTTTTTATTAACTTTATGTATTTATATTGCATTAATTTCAATTTCAATACAGTTTATTAAATACATAAGAAAAACAAATCAAAAATCAACACATCTGATCATAGATGGCGCAGTTAACTTACACGATATTCATAGAAATTGTCAAAAAATTACTGCCGATAGGAGGCGCTTAAGTGCAAAAGGCTGTTAAGTTAGATGCACTTAACGTTATTAATTTCATACAAAATTAGCTCTTATTGTAGCGAAAAGAAAATTTCAGGCAGCTATCTTACCGATGCAGCTAAGTATCGAGGCAGCAAAGCAAATTATACTGTACTGGATAAGATAACTGATTTATTTATTGTTATGGGACCAATTGATGTAAGAACATCTTATTTTGTATTCTGAATTGGAAGGGAAAAAACATTTTCTCGCATCATGTTAATTGTAGACCCTATATCAATTAGGCATTTGTATTTGTAACCTTTGTGTCCTTTTTCTAGATACTGGTATTGTCCGAGGTAATTAACGGAAAATTTTCGTTGAATACTAAGTCATTTGGTTTTTGTTCAGCTGGTGCCTCGTATTGATTTTGGTCAACCTGGTCTTGGTGCTGATTGTAGTCATAGTACTCCTGTTCGTACAACTGTTGGTCGTAGTTCTTTTCGTTGTGGTTGTATTCTTGAGCAACCTGTATTCTCACCTCGTCAATAGACATTTTAGTTTGTTCACTGTCCGATGGTCTAAGTCTTTTAGTTGGTTGAAAGTTGGGGTTGTTGGGCATGGGGGCTTGTTCTGGTGTTTGAGGAAATGGATTGCTATTAAACGTAGGTTGTGAGTTCACAATTCTATTGGGACCAAATTTGTCCGTACGCCATAGGTTGTTTGTTAATCACTTGTGGGGCATAAGTCGGTCTGGGTGAGTACTGCTGTGGGTTAAAATTAAGCTGTAATGCTTGAGAATATTGTGGATATCTTGGTTGATAGCTAGCTTGATTAGTTTGATTTATCTTAAATTGACTCGAATTCGGATATTGGGTTTGGGCTTTACATTTAATTGTATCTTCATTATATTTGTTTACACCGAAGCTTGCATGTTCTTCATAGATGCCCTCATTTTGTGCTATGTTAACTAAAGATCTCAAGTTTGGAATATCATGATGCACCAATATTGCGAATAGTGTAGGTGGTAACTTTCGAATTAGTGTTTTAACAGAATCTTTAATTGCCTGCAGATAAATTATAAGATTACTATTGTTACCTTCTAGATGTAACTTAGATATTAATAGTTGACGTCGTTTCTCCGCCTCATCGCAGAATGCTCGCAGATTTCCCTTGTGGGGTGTTTCACGGAAATTCTCCAATAATTTATAGTTTGGCGTCTGTGGCTTGTATTCTGCAACTAACCTCTGCTTCAGGGAAGGCCAATCCTCGATGTTTGGCGGACCCAACGATCTAGTCACATGTACATCCAGTTTCCTTTCTACTGCTCCGAGAAGAATGCGCTGCTGTCGCGCGTCGTCCGTGTGGTAGGGAGATAGTACATAATCAACTCTGCTGATAAAGGTGTAGAGTGCTGCCAGCTCTCCAGTAAATGCTGAAATTGGGTTGCGCCATTTTTATTTTTAATTTCTTGTTCAATTCGAAGTAGAAAAAACAATTTATTTAATTTTAATTTTTTGTTTGTTTTCACTTTAAATGTTTAATTGTGCACCGTGCCATTGGACTTATGGGTAATTTTGTATGTTTTTAATATTTTTTTTTTATTTCTTCCACCTTGATGCGATAACCGATTTACAATCCTGGTTGAAGTAAAAAAAATACACGTAAGTTTACTAGTTACAGATTATAAAGGTTAATTTATTTTCCACTAGTGGTTCTTTTGTCGGATACTTTTTAGTATCCTACCGGCTGCGCTAGTGAAATCGTTTGTTTGAGTCGAATAACTGACCCGTGATAATATCACTAAGGTCAACGCCGAAATAATTCTTAAATACCAACGCGATCAAATTTTGTGCGTGGTGTTTAATTGATGATCAGCTTAAGACTAAAAGTTCAGTAGAACTTATTTTATGTTATGAAGCTTATTACTACGTAAAGACGCGCAGCTGCAATTATCTGAGTGAGGTGTCTATTGCTTTGTGTAACTGTACAAGTGCAGCTGCAATTATCTAAGTAAGGTGTTTATTGCTTTGCTTATCTGTATGGATGCAGCTGCAATTATCTGAATAATGTTTTTTTGCTTTGTTTAACTGTATTTATGCTTTTGCAGGCGATAAGCGCTTGCAGATTCGCAGCTGCAATTATGCTGCCTTCTTATATTTGTCACTATAACTGTGCATATGTGCGAATATATATATATAATGACGTATTCGCACATATGCACAGTTATAGTGACAAAAATAAGAAGGCAGCAATCTTCAACTTTAAACGATATCCAAAGGCACGTATTAACAACCTGATCGTATAATTCAAAATTCATTAAACTATTAAAAGTATCATTTCTTCATAAAGGTATTGAAGAAACTCATTCCATGGTTGTTTCCGTATGTTCATAACGCTGGGTACAGCATGATAACAAAGACGTGAATCCTTGGACCTAATAAAAACATCTCCACTAAGAAGAATCAGCCCACCAGGTGGCTCTTCTTGTGTGTTGTGATCCATATAAAAAAAACTGTGTTAAGAAATTAAAACACTTAAATACACTTTATTATGTTCCGAGCTAGCGGTTATTCACGAAGACTTCGAGCTATACATAAGTGCTGTCCGTTGAAGGACTTAAAACCCGGGAAGGGTTTTATGCATATAACACCGCCAAAAATGCGGTTGTCGCAAGCCAACCGGCACAATATATAAATAAGTTCAAGCTAGGTCAAGTTTAAATTAAGTTATTCTAAAGAGTGTTGCATTTGTCGTTATCGGCAGCATCGATTGTTTGCTTCGTTGGTTGCGTCCGATATTATCGGCCACGTCGATATCTTTTTGCCGTATGAGCAGAGTAGCGGGGGTGAAACTGGGCACACAGCTGCGCCCAATTTATTGAAGAGTGGCAACGCCGGGCTTTCGAACCACAGCGCCAAAAGGGCGATTACTATTAGCCGCCCGATTCGCTCCTAAAGAGATTGGATACGCCCTTAGCCTTCATTTGGGCCGTTGGCCCAAAAAAATGCAACTTTGCAGATGGGCAGTAACGATGCCTGGCTCGGATATGTATGCGTGTACCGAAATTTGGCACCGATGATGTTGCTGCCCAAATGTACATCCAGGAGTTCAATTTTGTCAGCGGTCAACGGCGGGCGAGCCGAATTTGAATGAATATTTTTTTTGTTTTTGCGATTTAATAAGGAAACGTGAATTCACAATAGAGGAAAATTAAAAAAAAAATTAAAACATACGTGCGACACGGGACGAACAAATAAAAACGATAAGATAATAAACAAAATAAACAGCCCACGGTTCCGGCAACGAAAAGACCAGCTCTCGGACCGGAAATGCCAACAGAGTCACACCCAGGCCTAGTTTCGATGCAACGGCGCACGTCAGCCATACCCTCGGCGCCCTGATCACCGACGCTGTCCAGGAGGATAGGCCAAGAAGCGGCCACGGGCGAGACCACGCCCATAGTACCGAGTGAGTCCGTTCCAAGAGCGTTTTACTAAAACGCATATTTATTTTTATTCCCGTATAAGTTATTAAATGTCTGGTCGATTCGACATTTAATGTGTGTGTGTGTGTTTTTTTTAAACGCAATTACAAAACAATTCTTCAGTTAATGAAAATGCAGAAGGCTGAAACATGAAATACCAAAAATTTGGTGTGCTGAGCAAACCAGGACAATATGTATTTAAGATGTTTTGCACAGCACGACGTTTTCGACTCTCATTTATAATTACTAATCAGTTGGAACTTAGAAATAGGCATTGTGCCTCCTGCTGCTGCTGCTGCATTTTGAATCTCGGAGAATTTGTAATGCAATTTATTTGAAAATCTTGCCCTGGTTGAATTTGCGACCGTCCTTATCGGTGCCGGTCCATGAGAAGTACTGGGTAACAAGCTTCTTGGTCTCCTCGCTCTTTGCATCCAGTTTCTTCCAGTCGTAGACCTCATAATCGATCTGCCAGTCGGGTGACAGGGTGAAGGCCAGATCCTGTCCACGCCACACCCACACACCGGAGATGGTGCTGTTGTTGTCATCGCCAAAGAGGCACACTGAGGCGAATGCCTGTTTGCGCATCTTATCCAGACGCTGGAACATGCCGGTGATGAGATTGCACGACATGAACACCTTGGACAGCTCGTTGCTGTATTTGTATTCGCCGAACCAGATGGAATAGTTCTCGGCGTCGAACTTCTCAAAGAAATAAGGAATGGACTTGGCCTCATCTTCGTTGGAGTAAACGCGCTTGAAGTCATCAAAGTTGAAGGTGCCCTTGGGCATGGCATCGAATGGATCCTTGGATTTTGGTTCAAGAGCCAATGCCTCATCGGCAGCATCGAGCTCTTCGACTTCCTTCTTGGGTGCCTCCTTCTTCTCCTTGGGCTTCTTCTCCTCTTTGGGCTTAGTATCCTTTTGATTTTTGGCCTGGAATTCAGCATACTTCTTGGGATCGTAGACCAACGCCTTCTCGCACAGCTTGAAGTCCTTGAGAACAGCCTTAACCTGGGGCTGGTTCAAAATGGTCAAGAACCAACGGTTCAAATTGACATAATCACGGCGAGCGCTAGGCTCCAGAACATTCTCGTATAAATGCAACAGGGTGCAGAATACAATAATATCGGCCAGAGTGATGCGTTCACCGACGAGGTAGGTAACATCCAACAGCTTCTTGTTCAGCTGCTGCAGCACAACCTCCACATCCTGCTTCACTTTAGCGACGTTCTTCTCCTGCGGCAATATGCCCAACAGTGGGAATACCAAAGCACAGGAGGCAGGCAAAATTTCGGTGTCAGCAAACGATGCCCATTGCTGTACCTGAGCCTGTACAAAGGGGCATTTGCCACCGCGCAGCTCCTCGTTGGCCAAAAAGAAGGCAATGGCATTCGACTCGGTTAAGTATTTGCCATCAGCGGTCTCAAAAGCTGGCACCTTGCCGCTGGGGAACTTCTTCAGGAATGGCTCGGATTTGTTGGTTTTGCCAAATAAGAAGTTGTCGGCCACTTTCACCTTTGCGCCAGAGTACTGGGCCGCAATGAGCCTAGAGAGCCTAGAGGCAGGGCCCCGGGAACCCGAGGGGCAGTCTAACTCTGGGTCCCATTTGAATTGCTCTAAAATAAGAACAAGAAATATTTAGATAATTAAGATCAGTTCGTGTTTTGTTTTGCCTTCTGTATAATCTAAAATGTAACTTAAGAGAAAAAATGGGAATACATATATTGCCTGGTTGCGTCGAAAGAGGGGAATCTGAAAAGGGAAAGTTTAGTTTTCGATTCCACACCATCCGTACATATGTATATATATAAAAGCAATAATCATTTACTTACGTCGCCCTTAGCAACCCATAGCGCTCTTTCGGTAGGCTAAGAGTAATTAAGCGATATAATTCATATAAATATTGGCGGCGGCAATTGGCCATAACTTTCGGTGACGTCTTTACCTTTCTTTGTGTTGTTTGGCTATAAAAGAATTGTACTTTTTGAAATTAATACATATTGTCCATAATTATAAGAATATGCAAACAATTATACGCACCTGGTATAGAAATGTCCACGTGCATGAGAACGTAAATTACCGAGCAGAGATAGCCTGCAGAGATACTTGCAATAATAAAATGTCAATAATTATAAGAATACACGAATAATTATACGCACCTGTGAAGTTGAGGGAAATGTCCGGTCGCATGAGATTGTAAATGGTTGCAAAGATAAATTCAGTAAGAAATGATATTAATTGTTATTAATTTTAAGAAAACGCAACCAATTATACGCTCATAATGAAGGAAAAGAATGGTCGGCTAAATTTAAATTGATGGGGGCATGACAACCGACGCGGGCTGATGCAGGCCATCTAGTGGCCAAAATGAGGGATACGAAGTCAGGTGATCGTCTCAGGTAGGGAGGGTACGCTGGGTCCGGAACCGGGACCCGATCTGGAAGAGTAATGTGTATAAATGGTGTTTTTTGTTAATTTATAATGAGCGTATACCCTTTGTTGTTTACATTTTCTTGTTTTTACAGCTGTTAGTGTTGTTCATTTGTTGATAGATCCAGCTGTTTGATGTTATCGATTATGTGGTTCATTTTGAATAGTGTTGTGTAGGTCTGTTTTGCTACAGACGTTGTAGCTTTGTTGGTATCGATTGTGCGGGCTGCGGGCCAGGGATGGGATCACACCCAGAGAACCAATGAGCCAGCCGGCGCGGCCCACCGAGAAACAAGCAGTACCGTAATAATATGGCAATTTTTTAAAAAGCACCTGGCTTCTTTGATGTCGGGGGCATCAATCAAAAAATTAAATAAAAATATCAATGCAGGTTCAAGGAAGAGTTTCCCTTGGCTTTAGGATCCACACCGCTGATATCTTATGTGGTACGAGTAGGCGGCTCATAATCGCGCAGCGTTTAGTGGAATACGAGAAGCATGACGGAGGCAGAGATTACTAGAATATCGCTGAACATAAGAAGTTTTTCTTGTCGTGGTTGATGCCGGTAAGTCACGTTCGCCTGTTGGTGAAACGTTCGCGACCGTTTGTCGTAGTCTGGTGGTAGCCGCAATGGCAAAGGCATCTTGTGATAAAATATGATATTGGATCAGGTTTTGGTTGGAGTCTGTTTAATGTTTACTATTTGTTTTGTCCCACTCTGTATTTACATTTGGGGTGTGCTGGCCGTAGATAAATGAGCTTCGGAGACAGGTGACCCAGGACGATATAGATTCGATCCTGCACCGCACCTGTCACACAGCATGCCCCAAGGGCTCTCAGAAGTGCGACAGAAGCCAAATAGACTTCAAGGTAGCGTTCCTTGAATGCCGTTCGTCAGTCAAACTGACGAACTGAGCATTTGACGAATACTTAAATTCTGTCCACTGTCCAGATTATGCGTAGGCAAGTTAGCCCGTGTTAGGATTTGTCCTTTCTCCCCCCAAAGTATATGAAATTGATTAAAAAATATATAAAAAATATATATAAAAAATTTATTTTTGTGAGTTAGTTTGTGGTCAATGTTTATTTATTTATTATTCAATATTAGTTAGATTTGTTAGTGTGTTTATTTATTTAATAGGAATTATTTGTGACGTTTTTTTGTATTATGGTGAGTAAGCCTTATAGAAGAGAGGGGTACAGTTTTCTGAAAAGATAAGTAGGGCTGAGGAACAGGTGTCGGACTGGGCTTCTGACGCTGACGGAGCGTCGGCACTGTCACCGTCGCGTCCGTCAGGAGGTCTGGTGCGAACGCCAATGAATTTCCGGGGATTTCCTGAGAGACAGATCCCGGCGGAGGGTCATCTGGTAGACTTAGAGAAGGAATCGGCACAACAAGATCGACCTCCACGAAATCTGGAGTTCCCAAAACCGACTAAGGACTCGGTGCGCACGTCGGCAGCGAACGCGGCGATAGCCGAGGCCCACTAGACATATTGACATGCTCTGCCATCTGGCGTCAGCCGCCAGAGAGCCACGCCGGAGAGCCTAACACTGCGCTGATGCCGCCGAGACACGTCGCGCCGGGACCGCGAACCGGCGCCATCCCGCAAGAGCGGGAAGGGATCCAGCGCAAGGCATTTCCACCACTGGTGCCACCGAAGCCACACAGACAAGGTGTGCGAGGAGCGGAGTACTCATCCAGCAGCCCAGTATACGTTTCAGATGCTCAGGCGAGGATCTGGCATAATCCGAATAATCGCCATTTCCGAGTAGAGGTCCGGAGAGCGGATAACTACAGCCGGAGGAAGCGTATGCCAACGTACGAGAAGCAGCGTACTTGAAGCTCGAGCGGTGGAACGGCAAGTTCGATGGCGAGGACGTCATGAATTCTGTCGAGGACTTCGTGTTTCGGCTGGAGTTCTTGCAGAGGCAACATCAATGCCTGTGGAAGGGGGTCCTGCGCGGTTTGAATCTGCTCCTGATCGGCCGTGCCCGCGAGTGGTATTGGATGCACGTGTGGCATTTTAGGGTCGACAGCTGGATGCAACTGCTGCACGCTCTCTTTGACAGGTTCCGGGGTAGACGGAGCATGATGTGATGCAGGAGCTACTACAGCGAGAGAAACAGAACAGCGCGTCGGCTCGCCGTGCGATTCTAGAAGCCACTGAGAGACCGCGAACTGGTGAGAATTAAAAAGTGTGGTTTGAAGGAGAGTCTGGCAAAATACATCTATGGATGTACACCGTGGATGAGCTGCGCCCAAGAGTGCATAGAAGTGGAGAGGCACATTGGTCTCAGAAGCCGGACTGGGTACTTGCCGTCGTCGCGTTACTCGCAAGGAACGAGGCCCACAGTTCAAGAGGTTGAAGTAACACCACATCGTGCGGAAACACCGCCTAGATGTGCCTTCGTGCAAGGCAGGACATCATCCTGGAACTGTAGGCAGTTCGACCATGTCAAGAATGCTCTCATGTCCGAGAAACTCTAGAGGGAGCGCGATGGTGGCGGGGCAGACACGTTCGGGGACGGCGACCGCAGAAAAACAGAAGAGGAACACCTACCAAGGCCAATAGTAGTTGAAAAGGAGAAGAATATAGACCACAATGACCATAAGGCTATGTATAAGGATATGAATAAAGGAAGAACATTAAGAGGCTTACCATATGAAGAACGTGTTCGGGCATACATGTCGGCCTGAAATAGAATTTTTGGTGAGCGACAGCTGGATGGGATGGCGCTGGCAACCCGAAGAGTGGTGAAGGCTCGTGCGCACTTCCGCAGACGCAGGATTACGAGGCGCCAGGTCATTGAAGCTGTGAGACGGGAGAATAATAGTATTCGCCGAAGTGGAGGTGGCTGGGATCAAAATGAAAGGGTTTTTGGACACAATGCGAAAATGGTTGTTTGAGCCTCAGTCAGTCTGCTGGGACGAGGATGCCGGGAGTTAGTGGAGGAATTGGGATGGGAAGCGCAGCCATACACATCGATGGTAAGGACAGCGGCGGGTGCCAATCACCCAATTTTAGGCCGCGTTGTTCTGCCTGTAAAATATGGGAGTAAGAAAGAAGTGATCGTATTTAACATGTGCCTGGGCCTACGACAGGAACTATACCTGGGAATCGACTGTGCTTCGAAGGCTCGCCTTCGAGACTGCCCCAGAATTGCTCGGCCCGGCCATAAAGTCCGATGCACCTCCAGAGGCATCTGAGAAAGTGGTAACGAATCCAGAGGTGGCTTATTACCGAGACGACGAAGACCGCGTGACGGATCCGGAAATGTGGGACCTGGACATCGAGCACAAGAGTTAGTTGAAAGGCGTGAAACGCAGATTACTCCAATTTGAAAAAGATGGCCTAGGGAAACCTCACCCGTTGCAGCATCGTATACAGCTGATCGAGGGAGCCGAATCCGTGAAGGATAGGCACCTGCCAAACAGGAGATCGTGTGGGCCGAGGTAGATAAAATGCTAAAATTAGGAATTATCAGGAGAGTGACAGCCCCTGGAGTAACCGAACGACGGTAGTGATGAGGCCGGGGAAGAACAGGTTTTGTTTAGACACCAGGAAAAAATAGCGTGACGGTAAAGGACACTTACCCGCTCCCATGCATCGAGGGCATCTTACCGTACCGGAGAGGCCGCTGTACCAGTTCCGCCACATGCCATTCAGGCTCTGCAACGCCGCTCAACAACTATGCAGGCTCATGGATAAGGTGATCCCGACGAGTCTTAGATCAAACGTGTTCGTATACCTGGACGACTTAATCATAATATCGGCAGATTTTCAGACGCATCTGAAATACCTGGAATTGGTGGCCGAGTGTCTGAAGAACGCGAACCTTATCATAGACATGGCGAAGTCGAAATTCTGTTTCCGCAACATAAATTACTTAGGGTTCATCATAGGCGGCAGGACATTGCGTATGGATCCGGAAAGAGTGGAGGCGATCCGGAACATTCCGAACCCGAAGTCGGTCAAGGAACTGCGAAGCTTCCTAGGTAGGGCGGGGTGGTATCGCCGATTCATAAAGAACTTCGCCGAGATCTCAGTACCGTTGAATGATGCCTTAAACAAAAGAACGGGTTAATTTGCGTTGAGCGACAAAGCAATTAATGCCGTGGAAACCTTGAAACTAGCCTTCACCCCGGTGTTAGTTCAGGCGGATTTTAAAAGACCCATTTTTATTTAATGTGACGCATCTCACTACAGATTAGGAGCCGTGTTGCTCCAGTTGGACGACGAGCAGCATAAAAGGCCGATCGCTTTCTTCTCGGCCAAACTCAATAAGCACCAGATTAACTATTCGGTGACCGAGAAAGAATGCCTAGCTGAAAAACTGGCCATACATCGATTCCGACCGTACGTGGAGATGATGCCGTTTAGGTAATCATCGATCATGCGAGCCTGCAGTGGCTGATGAATCTCAAAGACTTGAGCGGGAGATTGGCCAGGTGGTCTCTAGAACTGCAAGCATTCCCTTTCTCCATGCAGTACCGCAGAAGCGTGAAAGAGGTTGAATTGGCCCCGGCGGATCTGTTGAGATTTCAGACCGTGGAGTTCGAGAGCACCGAGTACCAAGGGTTGGTGAAGGAGGTGATGAGCCAACAACAGAAACTGTCGGATTTGAAAGTGCAGGGCAGACTCCTGTTCAAGAGGACAGTGCACGATAGCTTTGAAGATGAAGTCGAGGGCACGAGTTGGAATCTCTGGGTGCCGGAGTCGCCGACTGCAGGGCTTATCCTACGAGCACAAGCGTCGAGAAGTCAGCTCATGGAGGCATGAGAAAAACGCTGCACGCGCTGCGCCGGCAATTCTATTGGCCCAACATGGCTATACAAGTCAGGGACTACGTGTGGAAATGCGACATTTGCAAGGAGACCAAGGCACAAAACTACCGGATCCAGGTCGGAATTGGAGAAGAAGTGCGCACCGACCGCCCGATCCAGAAGATATACGTCGACTTCTTGGGGAAGTATCCGAAGTATCCGGTCGAAACGAGGGCATGCGTGGATATTCGTCGTCGTGGACCACTTCTCAAAGTTTACCTTTCTGAAGGCCATGAAGGAAGCCACCGCGGCGAAAGTCGTCAACATTCTAGTCCAGAAGGTTTTCTTTAAATTTTGCGTGCCGGAAGTGATCCATTCGGATAATGGGCGGCAATTTACTTCCAAATCATTCGATTCAATAGTCCAGGCGTTTGGCATTACACACGCGTGAACCGCACGGTGCTGTCTGCATTAAGAACCTACTTGGGCCAGGCTCACAGAGAATGGGAAGCGTTCCTACTGGAGGTAGAAGTGGCGATCCGGAATGCGGTGCACAGCGCTACGGGAGTGACACCATTCTTCGCGGTGTTTGGCCAGCACATGTACCTGAATGGTTCCAGTTACAAGCTGGCCCGGAAGCTGAGGTCATTGGCGGATCACAGCATTTCTGACCTAGACGCGAAGGGCAGACTGGATGTAATCCGAAACCAGGTCAAGGAACACCTCCACACCGCGTACGAGCGAACGCTATTTTCAACGCCCGCACCAACTCCGGAACCGGGACAGGAAGTGTGAAGGCACAACGCACTCAGCAGCTTTGGCAAAGCCTTCAATGCCAAGTTCGCCCTGAAATTCGTGAAGAGCCGCGTCGTCCGAGCCGTAGGTACCAACGCCTACGAGTTAGAAGATTTCCAGGGTCGTGTGCTAGGCGTTTTCCACGCAGAAGATCTACGAGCATAAGCGTAATATGCTCACCTCCTCGCCAGGCGTTGACGTCGGCAGAGTCCGTCCTCTTTGGTCAGCGGCGCCAGTACAGAGTATTTGTGATGGGTGTGGCCTGCGTTGGGCATCCTTATTAGCCGGCTGGGTCAAGCTAGGAAATGCGCATACAGATTCTTTGTAACGGTCGTGTGCACCTGCCAAACAGGAGATCGTGTGGGCCGAGGTAGATAAAATGCTAAAATTAGGAATTATCAGGAGAGTGACAGCCCCTGGAGTAACCGAACGACGGTAGTGATGAGGCCGGGGAAGAACAGGTTTTGTTTAGACACCAGGAAAAAATAGCGTGACGGTAAAGGACACTTACCCGCTCCCATGCATCGAGGGCATCTTACCGTACCGGAGAGGCCGCTGTACCAGTTCCGCCACATGCCATTCAGGCTCTGCAACGCCGCTCAACAACTATGCAGGCTCATGGATAAGGTGATCCCGACGAGTCTTAGGTCAAACGTGTTCGTATACCTGGACGACTTACTCATAATATCGGCAGATTTTCAGACGCATCTGAAATACCTGGAATTGGTGGCCGAGTGTCTGAAGAACGCGAACCTTACCATAGACATGGCGAAGTCGAAATTCTGTTTCCGCAACATAAATTACTTAGGGTTCATCATAGGCGGCAGGACATTGCGTATGGATCCGGAAAGAGTGGAGGCGATCCGGAACATTCCGAACCCGAAGTCGGTCAAGGAACTGCGAAGCTTCCTAGGTAGGGCGGGGTGGTATCGCCGAATCATAAAGAACTTCGCCGAGATCTCAGTACCGTTGAATGATGCCTTAAACAAAAGAACGGGTTAATTTGCGTTGAGCGACAAAGCAATTAATGCCGTGGAAACCTTGAAACTAGCCTTCACCACAGCCCCGGTGTTAGTTCAGGCGGATTTTAAAAGACCCATTTTTATTTAATGTGACGCATCTCACTACGGATTAGGAGCCGTGTTGCTCCAGTTGGACGACGAGCAGCATAAAAGGCCGATCGCCTTCTTCTCTGCCAAACTCAATAAGCACCAGATTAACTATTCGGTGTCCGAGAAAGAATGCCTAGCTGAAAAACTGGCCATACATCGATTCCGACCGTACGTGGAGATGATGCCGTTTAGGTAATCATCGATCATGCGAGCCTGCAGTGGCTGATGAATCTCAAAGACTTGAGCGGGAGATTGGCCAGGTGGTCTCTAGAACTGCAAGCATTCCCTTTCTCCATGCAGTACCGCAGAAGCGTGAAAGAGGTTGAATTGGCCCCGGCGGATCTGTTGAGATTTCAGACCGTGGAGTTCGAGAGCACCGAGTACCAAGGGTTGGTGAAGGAGGTGATGAGCCAACAACAGAAACTGTCGGATTTGAAAGTGCAGGGCAGACTCCTGTTCAAGAGGACAGTGCACGATAGCTTTGAAGATGAAGTCGAGGGCACGAGTTGGAATCTCTGGGTGCCGGAGTCGCCGACTGCAGGGCTTATCCTACGAGCACAAGCGTCGAGAAGTCAGCTCATGGAGGCATGAGAAAAACGCTGCACGCGCTGCGCCGGCAATTCTATTGGCCCAACATGGCTATACAAGTCAGGGACTACGTGTGGAAATGCGACATTTGCAAGGAGACCAAGGCACAAAACTACCGGATCCAGGTCGGAATTGGAGAAGAAGTGCGCACCGACCGCCCGATCCAGAAGATATACGTCGACTTCTTGGGGAAGTATCCGAAGTATCCGGTCGAAACGAGGGCATGCGTGGATATTCGTCGTCGTGGACCACTTCTCAAAGTTTACCTTTCTGAAGGCCATGAAGGAAGCCACCGCGGCGGAAGTCGTCAACATTCTAGTCCACGAGGTTTTCTTTAAATTTTGCGTGCCGGAAGTGATCCATTCGGATAATGGGCGGCAATTTACTTCCAAATCATTCGATTCAATGGTCCAGGCGTTTGGCATTACACATGCGTGAACCGCACGGTGCTGTCTGCATTAAGAACCTACTTGGGCCAGGCTCACAGAGAATGGGAAGCGTTCCTACTGGAGGTAGAAGTGGCGATCCGGAATGCGGTGCACAGCGCTACGGGAGTGACACCATTCTTCGCGGTGTTTGGCCAGCACATGTACCTGAATGGTTCCAGTTACAAGCTGGCCCGGAAGCTGAGGTCATTGGCGGATCACAGCATTTCTGACCTAGACGCGAAGGGCAGACTGGATGTAATCCGAAACCAGGTCAAGGAACACCTCCACACCGCGTACGAGCAAACGCTATTTTCAACGCCCGCACCAACTCCGGAACCGGGACAGGAAGTGTGAAGGCACAACGCACTCAGCAGCTTTGGCAAAGCCTTCAATGCCAAGTTCGCCCTGAAATTCGTGAAGAGCCGCGTCGTCCGAGCCGTAGGTACCAACGCCTACGAGTTAGAAGATTTCCTGGGTCGTGTGCTAGGCGTTTTCCACGCAAAAGATCTACGAGCATAAGCGTAATATGCTCACCTCCTCGCCAGGCGTCCTCTTTGGTCAGCGGCGCCAGTACAGAGTATTTGTGATGGGTGTGGCCTGCGTTGGGCATCCTTATTAGCCGGCTGGGTCAAGCTAGGAAATGCGCACACAGATTCTTTGTAACGGTCGTGTTCACGTTTACAATAATCTGCGTGATGATGTTGCATTTGACGTTATCGGCAGCATCGATTGTTTGCTTCGTTGATTGCGTCCGATATTATCGGCCACGCCGATATATTTTTGCCGTATGAGCAGAGTAGCGGGGGTGAAACCGGACACACAGCGGTGCCCAGTTTATTGAAGAGTTGCAACGCCGGGCTTGCCAACCACAGCGCCAAAAGGGGCGATTGTTATTGGTCGCCCAATTCGCTTCTAAAGAGATTATAGGGAGAGAGGATCGCCTGCCCTTGGCGGGCGATCCGGCTCGAAGCGAGTTTAAGTTCTTCTTTTTGCATGTCGGCTCCAAATATTCTAAACAAGTTTTCTAACTGGTTAATTAAGCCGGCGCGTACCAATAAAAATTAACAAATGAATATTTTTTTTTGTTTTTGCGATTTAATAAGGAAACGTGAATTCAAACATTGTGTCACAATATACAAAAATAAAAAAAAAACTTAAATAAGTAAATAAAATAAACGGCCCACGGTTCCGGCAACGAAAAGACCAGCTCTCGGACCAGAGAGGCCAACAGAGTCACACCCAGGCCTAGTTTCGATGCTGCGGCGCATGTCAGCCATACCCTCGGCGCCCTGATCACCGACGCTGTTCAGGAGGATAGGCCAAGAAGCGGCCACGGGCGAGACCACGCCCATAGGTACCGAGCGAGTCCGTTCCAAGAGCGATTTACTGTACCCAGCCTAGAGGCAGGGCCCCGGGAACCCGAGGGGCAGTCCAACTCTGGGTCCCATTTGAATTGCTCTGAAATAAGAACAAGAAATATTTACATAATTAAGATCAGTTCGTATTTTTTTTTCGCCTTCTGTGTAATCTAAAATTGTACTTAAAAGTAAAAATGGGAATACATATATTGCCTAGGTTGCGTCGAAAGAGAAGACCCAAAGGTTACGGCCAGTGCCAGGGGAATCTGAAAAGGAAAAATTTAGTTTTCGATCCCACACCATCCGTACATTTGTATATATATATAAAAGATATAATCATTTACTTACGTCGCCCTTACCAACCCATAGAGGCTAAGAGTAATTAAGCGATTTATATATATATAAAGATATAATCATTTACCTACGTCGCCCTTACCAACCCATAGAGGCTAAGAGTAATTAAGCGATTTAATTCAAATAAATATTTTATATATACGAATTTTTACTACATACCATTTTTTTCAGCGAGCTTATATATGCGTATATACGGCATGAATGTGTGGGGGGAGCCAATCGCTCAATTAAGATTTATAAATTTGTTCTTCAACGTTGTTCCCGGTGGCAATTGGCCATAACTTTCGGTGACGTCTTTCCCTTTCTTTGTGTTGTTCGACTATTAAAGAATTGTAATTTTTGAAATTAATACATATTGTCCATAATTATAAGAATATGCAAACAATTATACGCACCTGGTATAGAAATGTCCACGTGCATGAGAACGTAAATAACTGAGCGGAGATAACCTGCAGATAACCTACCTACAATAGAAGCAATATTAATTGTCAATAATTATAAGAAAACACGAATAATTATACGCACCTGTGAAGTTGAGGAATATGTCCGCTCGCATGAGATTGTAAATGGCTGCAAAGATAAATGCAGTAAGAAATTATATTAATTGTTATTAATTTTAAGAAAACGCAACCAATTATAAGCTCATATTGAAGGAAAAGAATGTCCGACTAAGTTTAAATTGACGGGGAGAGGGGGCATGACAGCCGACGCGGGCTGATGAGGGCCATCTAGTGGCCAAACTGAGGGATACGAAGTCAGGTGATCGTCTCAGGTAGGGAGGGTACGCTGGGTCCGGAACCGGGACCCGATCTGGAAGAGTAATGTGTATAAATGGTGATTTTTATTAATTTATATTGAGCGTCTACCTTTTGTTGTTCACATTTTATCAATTTATTGATTATGTAGTTCATTTTGAATAGTGTTGTGTAGGTCTGTTTTGCAACAGACATTGTAGCTTTGTTGGTATCGATTGTGCGGACTGCGGGCCAGGGATGGGACTACACGCAGAGAACCAATGAGCCAGCCGGCGAGGCCCACCGAGAAACAAGCAGTTCCGTAACAAGAGGAGAATAAATATTGTAAATATTATTAACAGCATAAGAAGAAAGTTGCACAGCGCTCTGCAACGTGTCTACAGTATTATCGAACTTTTTGATTTTTCTTCTCCTTTTATGTTTATATGTTTACGCTATTGTTCAGATAACTGAGTGCATGAAAAACAATAACAGCTCTAACTGTCGCAGGTAACACCAAAACTTCAACTCGCTGCAGTGTAACAAACACTGATAAAGGCTTCACGGTCCCTGATCCAAAAGCAACTGTTGCTATTAATAACTACAACAACAACATAATGATTCAACCCTCTCCCATTTTTTATATTGACAGCGACGTTAAGGTTAGTCAGATCCAGTTGAAGAGACCGTAGTCAGCCCTAATCGCAATAGCAATAAAGGCAACAACAATTGACGACGCATCTGACGCATCCAATGAACCAACCTTAAATAGACCAGCTTTGCGACATAACGTTCTAAATGTCAGCGATAATATCCTAGATAGCTCAGCAAAATTTGTAAAACCGCCACCCATTTCTTTCAATAGGGTTAATAAACTTACTTCAGCTTACAAAACTGCTCGAAAGAGAAAGCGATGTCGAAAAAGTTAAAATCAACATATCAGTGGGTGGTATAACTCGCCTTTACTCCATCGACAGCGACATAGCATTGTCATTTTGGGAAGAAAGTAAAAAGCAAGAAATTATCCAGTGCCGGCGCTGCCAGCAATTTGGTTGCTCTGCTAATTTCTGTCGCCAAACACCCCTTTGTATTAACTGTAGGGACGAACACAGATCCGAGGACTGCATTAGACCATCTAGGGCCACATGCGCAAACTGCGGGCTAGACAAACCGACTAACTGCAAAGGCTGCGCAGCGTACCACAATCTCTGCAAATCCACCTTTCAAAAACATCACCCCCTACTAGAGCCACCTCTTCGATCTCGCTAAAAGCAATCAAAACTTATCCAAAAATCAATACCACATGCAGGGATGGAAATAGGTATGGCACAAACAATCACAAACGCGTAATGCTCATCAACCCCAGCATGTCGATTTTCAGCCTACTCAATGGCCGATTAACCTCAATGAGTATTATATGCAGGTTAATCTATGTTCATCCATTAATACGCTTAATAACATTTTAATGGGAATGCAACAACAAATGCTGAGCATGCAAGCCCAAATTTAGAAGTTGCTCAATCAATCCTTTCCGCTCTAAAGATAATTTGAAATGTCAATGGTGTCCAAAAAAAAATAAGCTAACGGGAAAGCTTCGCGCAAAACAGCAGTATATACATAAAACTTCTCAGCAAAGTCCGACTACTTGGGAACTCGACTCCCAAACTCTACGGATATTGCTTCTACCCTGTCAATCATCCAACCGCTACTTATGGCAAATTTGGTTCTGCTCATTAAAAATAACATCCAACATTTTCTTACCCGTCCAGTTTGGACGGTGGTGGACGAGGTGTGCTCTATTTAATACCCCCCAACTTACCAGTGACTCAGCACCGACTTTGCAGATCTGTTAAGCAATCTAGACAATCTATGTTTCTTGTCGGTGGCGATTAGCACGCCAAACACAGGCTCTGGGGATACCAGCGTTATAACAAAAGAGGTAAGGAGCTTGCGACATTTGTCCGATCCTTAAATGTGGATGTGTTACCTACTGGCTGTCCCACAAGATTCCCGAGCAAACCTAATAACAGCCCAAGCTATCTGACCTTCGCTGCCTACAAAAAAATTCCTCAATCGAAGCTCCACATAGACAAGCGTTTCGACATGACCTCGGAGCATCTCCCATTAAT